GTCTGTGCCTAAGAATGAATCCTTTCAAATCAAACCGACAAACCAAAAACTTTTATTTCAATTTTTCTACAAATGTTAAGTTTTGTCATATAGTAAAAATAAACAATTTTTTTTTTTTGAAAGAAAACATAAGCTGTCGCCATATGTCGCATTTTTTTTCAGGAGTAGTTGATTTCAGTAAACTTTTTTGTGCAATCATTGTATCAATGAGTATCAAATGATCGTGAACTTGATATGTAAAGTTATCATCGATATCCACAATAGGCTAATCTTAGTGTTATCGAATGTAACAAGTGAAGTATAAGTAGCAAGTATAAGTCAGAAAATAGTAGTTCTAGTACTTTTATTATATGTGACATGGATTTGGACAATATTTTTGAAAGGACAAATAAGATAGTTGGAGAGAAAGAAATGATAGCTTTACTTACGGTTTTACAAGTAATAACTTTCTCCTACGATAGATGATTGTACAGTAATCATTTGCATATCACCTTAAATTGTGTAGTTTTGTTTGATTACAAGGAAATTATTTATTACAAATAATGTTTGTACCCTTTAATTTATACATTTCCAAAACCGCAGCAAAAAAATTGTGATTGGAAAAATTACAAGTGTTTCCCAGGTAGCATAATGTTCTGAAATATGGCTTATTGATTTCTTTACTTTTCTCTCTGTGATATGATAGTTGTTTATCAGTGAACCAGAATTCCCATCCTATTTCATGATTTCAGTTATTCTGTTTAATATATGCTTTACTCAAATTGTCCAATTGAAATACCGTTGTTCATTTCTTTCGCTTAATTTCATTCCTGTTGCTTTTGTATTAGCCAATTTGTTAACTCTTGTGTAGCGGTAACTTGTCCGGAACGTTCCGGAACGGATTTCATTGGTAAATTAAATTAAGAAAATCTTACGAAATAAACTATTTGCTGTTGCTTTAACGGCTTTCATTTGTGCTTTTGCATCTAAAATTTCAGCTTTTAATATCAGAGATTATATTGATATATTCCAGCATTAAATGTTCATATATAAATGAAATAGATTGGAAAGAATTACAATAAATTGCATTTAATGAAGGATTTATTCCGAACCAAAAATTGGATTATTATACGAAAAGATCAATGGAAGGATGAATATATGATTCATAGTTGATGGAAGGATTGATAAATAGTTAGATAAGTTACAGTAAACCTGATATTTTCGTTTTATTACTTTATCCTAAACTGTATTGAACAACGAAGCAATAATGAAAATCTTCCCATTTTCTCTTTCTAATCGAAGAGCATTCAATTTAAAATCACGTTTTGCAATATATTTCAAATCGGACAGTTGTTGTACGTTTCATAAAACAAAATTAATTGAAGAAATTCATTTCATTTCCAATTAGGAACGAACGTTACCATAATCCGAATATTCCAAATATTCCTAAAATAATAAATTTTTCAAAATTTCGATTTACAAGAAATGCATATTGCTCTATTTAAAAAAAAAAAATAATATCTGAATAAATGAGAAAATGAAATCGTTGTCTTTTTCTCCATGAAACCTATTTATGATATAGCTGCAAAATTATTATTAATTTGTCCTAACTTTGAACATCCTATATATGTATACGTGTCGCAGTAACTATGTGTCGCAGTGAACTACGTGTCGCAGTAACAAAGAAATCACAAGCTAATCTATAAACAATATTTGCATATTATCGAGACGATAATGAATGAAATCGGCTCATTTATATTGTTCAATTTTTTCAAAATTTTACTTTGAAAAGTTTTTAATTTCAATTTTCAACAGTATAGAATAGAAGAGTATAGTTTGAAAAGATTGCATTCTTTTATTAGTTACAACAAAAAAGGTCACCTGATTTATCTGTTTTGAATTGTCATTTTCTGAGGGCTAAAATTGATTTCATTAATTCTATTTGTATTTTCAATATTTATTATTGGTTTTCTTTTAATTCAATTATTTGAATACAACTTTCTTTTTGTTTAAAATGTACTTTTACACTTGACAATTAATGATCAAATGTACGAAATCAACAGTAGTTGAACGTATGAAGATAATAATCGTACTAGGCATAAGGTATGTACTACATTAATAACCGTACTCAACGTAAGTGTATATTACATTAATAACCGTATTCAACGTAAGTGTATATTACATTGACAATCCTGATGACTCTTTTTTTGCGGTACAAAAGTATTACAAAATTTCCCTAGAAATTAAATGAAATTTCTAAACCTCTCATGATGACAAATGTGACACATGACAGCTAACATACATATGCTACCATATTATAGGTGTATTATCGAAATATCTTAATTAGTACTACTAATTGTCAGAATTTTTTTTTTACCTCATCATACGGCAATTTATATCGACATATAACATAATAATTTTGAAAACGCGCATTACAATCGATATCAAAGCTGTAGAAAATTCTGAAGTACTCTAAAATGAATGATAATAAAAAGTTATAAAATTTTAGGAGCTTTTTTCAAAGTTTTTTTTACCGTATCCATTTATTCCTTTTGATCAAATTTTTCAACAAACTTATATTTATGAATTTCATTAAAAGAATTGCATTAAACAGATTTCAAAATTAACTTTTAAATAATTTAAAGAATGAAAATATTTTTCATCTAATTATAAACATTAAGATTAATTTGAATTAAAATAAAAATTAAAATATGAAATATTACTTATAACGAAATCTTATCATAAATGATTTTCAAGTTTATCAATTATTGATAAGAAATATTTTGATAAGAAGCATTATAACTCATCGAGAATTCATATGCTTTAACATTAAATATTCTTTATAAACAAGAAAGCTTACGTGTTGGTGGACTATAAAGAAAAACTCGTCTACAATCATCTGCTTTAAATGCTGAAAAATTTGACATAAATCCTCGATCCAAGAAATTATCATAATTGAATGGAGTATTATCAAGCCAATGATAATTATTATTGATATATGTTAATCCGATCAATAACGGAAGATCATTTCGATCAGCATGGATAAGCCATTTTTTCCGTTCAAATGCTAAACATATTTGTATCATATTATCATTTGATAGTGATAATTGTTTGATAAATGATATTAAATATTTGCATATCTTATAGTTGGATTGAAAACTAAACAAAAAAAAAAAAAAGAAAAAATGAAATAATTGTTGGTTTTTATTGTAAAATTTTCGAAATTTTAAGGTAAGAAGGAATGATAATTAATGTAAATACTTCGATAAAGCATTTTAACAAATTCAAATTCCTCTTTGTTACGAATTGAAACGCTTGTTATCGATGGAAAGTTTGATGATAATCGACATATATTTTCATCTGCTGTTCCAATATTTCCCAATTTAGGATCATCCGTTGTATTCTTAAAAAAAAGCAATATTGCAATTTATTAAATTTAAAAAGATTTCTGCAGCTAAAGTTTTTCAAATATTAAACATGAAATAATTCATTACATTCCGTGGCTTACTCTAACGATAGTAAAGAGAAGTGTCGATGATTTGAAGTAAAATGAAATAGCTTATTTAATTAGCTTAAAATGAGCAATTATTACCAATTATTCATTAAAGTATGATTAAGTGAAGCTAACAAAGCTAAATGTTAAAAGGATACAGTTGCATTACTATCTGGAAAGCATTCATGCAATATGGTATAAATAGATGTTTCAGTACTTAAATTACAACTTGGTTGACAAGTTGTTTGTCAATAAAATTCCGTTTACAATTTAGCATGAAATGTAAACAAGCAGATGATATCAATTACATATTACAGTATCATCTAATTACAAATAATGAATGTAACAATTAAATGACTAACACCTCGAGTAATCTTATGAATTTTATAACAATAAAAATCCGTGCCGATTTTTTTCATATGATAATTGATCGTACATTGAAATTTTCCTTAAATGATCAAAGATTATTGTTGTTATTTTTCATTTTTCTATTTTTAAATTAAAGTAATTCATTAAAAAAAAGCATTTTTTGACAAGAAAAAAACGAAACTTCTAAATCATATAATAATATACCTAAAAAGTTTTTTTTTATTAAAATCTAACTCTAACAATTTATTATTGAATAAGGTAAATATTAATATCAAGATATGATGAATTAATAGATATTTGAAAGAGTATACTAAGTTTTGCTATATGACACAAATAAAGTGACATAATTTGTCATCAGGATTATGAATATTCCATGTAAGTTTATGACACAAATAAAGTGACATAATTTGTCAA